AGAGAGAGAGAGAGAGAGAGAGAGAGAGAGAGAGAGAGAGAGAGAGAAAGAGAAAGCAAAGTAAAATTTATATAATTTGTCGTTTTACAATTAAATGCAGTAAAAAAACATAAATGAATACGTCAGATGTACACTGATGGAAACTACAGATCTGAGTACGAGCACTATAATGCAATCATAGAGATAATTGTAGTACCTTCATACACGCGCGCGCGTGACGTCATCGCGAAACTTATCTTATTGTTAGGGAGGTTATGCAAATGGTATTATGTGTTATCTAGATTAAAATAAACAAAATAATTTTTTACAAAACACTTTGTATAAAAGATATTTTATTTCACATTATAATACTACAATGTGTTATTTTTGTTATTTTTAGCACAAATTACAAACAATTTAATACAAATTTTCAGTACAAATTAAATTAAATATATTAATATAGTGTATTTAATAAAACCTTTTTATACATAAGTATGTATAAAAAAATTACATAAATCATAGAAAATATGTAAATTAAAGACTGACTTGTCTGAATTATATTGTATCTTAGATATGGAAACTTGTTAAAAATCTCAGTCTATTTATAAAATGTTTCTCTAATTTATATCTAACAATATAACAATTTAAAAGAAAATGTATCTCCAAATAATATATAGAAGATATATAATATATATAATAATATATATAGAAAAATATTCTTAACATAAATTATTCATAACATTAACTCTGATAATAGTGGTATTTGAAATCATTTAAGATTGTTCGCGTTATTGTATTACGGTTCCTGCATATCTTTCGTTTTTTGATATTTACTTAAAAAAATGGCAAATACTTTGCTGCGATTTCTTATGCAGTTAGGCTAAAATCAACAATAAAATGTACGTATCATAAAAGATATTGTAAAATAACATAAATTATCAACTTACTTCAGTAGTAACCCCTAGAAGCAGATCGGCATTAGAATATAATACCTTATGTAAGGATATCGTGATGATTTGCATAGTGTTTATTTGGGATTGAATAAAGCGAATGACATTCTTGATATTCGCCTTGTCTAATGCCGCATCACCTTCGTCCATAAGGAGAAACGGTATTTGCTTGTAACTGTGGGGGAAAAAAAGATTAAAATTATGTTCTTAACTCTTTACTGTCGGTTGTTATCTGCATTATAAAAGCATCAAAATGCATGTAAATGTATTAATCTTATAGGATAAAGATATACCGTTGAAATGCAAATAGTAATGCTAAACTAGCGAGTGATTTCTCTCCACCAGACAAATATTGCAATGGCTGAAAGTATTTAGATGGCGCTATGCAGTTGTAAATTATATTGCCCGCGTACGGTTCCTCGGGGTTATCTGCTAAGATAGTTGCTTGAGCCGACGTATCATTAACTAAACTCTGCATAGAAAATAAAGCAAGTCAGATATAAATTATAAAATACACATAAAAATAAACTATATAATAAACAAAATCTTAAAGTAAAATTAAAAATGCCGACTTTGAGTATAGAATCTATTTCCATAGCAACAAAATCCAGGCAATCTTCAAACTGTTTGCATCTTTTTGCCTTCACTGACTTAAATTGATTTTGTATTTTATCACACTTATTACGGCAGGTTTGGAAGTTCGTATTTATCTCTTGTATTTGCTGCGCTATCAAACTTATCTTTTCATCAACCTGTATTTATCCAAATGAGATTTTTTAGCATATCTGACATAAATATACATAATGTACCTATATCATGTAAAATTATAAATGTTATATACCTTAAGATTGGGATTCATATCTTTAAATTCATTTTGAATCTTTGTAAGCTTTTCATTAAGTCGTGTAGCCATGTCGTGTAAATTTTCTTCTGTATAATTACGGATGTTTTCAGGAAATCGCGAGAAATCAATTTTTCTTAACACTTTACAACCATCTGACGATTCCACGTTTGAACTTGAGCTAGTTGTAAAAAAGCTATCTTCTGGCGTACGATGTGGATGTGATGTCTCTGACATTGGAATAATAAAGTCTTCTATCTGTAATAATAATGTTATTATAACTGATGTTAAGCGAGAGTCAAACCTAATGTCAAGTGATATTTAATGTTTGTATTAACAAATCTCTTAAACCTCATCTTTTACAATATATGTGTCCTTTAATTTTTTTAAAAACTCACAAACCTTGCATTCATTAATTATAGTGTTGCATTCTATTTTTTTCTGTTCTATTTTTTTTTGTACACCAATGAGCTCCTTCTGACTCTCCAAATATAAATTTCCGATAACGTTAACTCGCGACCTGTACTGAGCCAATTTTTTTTCCGTATTTTCTAAATCCTTTATTTTGTTTGTGTAATCATCTTTTAACTTCGACATTTCCGTTTCTTCTCGCTCAATTTTAATCTTTGCATCACGTTCTTGCTGATATGCCTTTTTCAGTTCTGCATCAGCTTGTTCTACAGCGCTTTTCCATTTTAATACTTTACCTTTTCACACAAAATTCGTACATATATGAGAACATTAATTGATTAGCGACCATACATTAACAAAAATATAATTTGGAAATTTACTTTCTGTATCATTCTCGTTTTCAAAGTGCAATTGATTCTTGATACGATCATATTGTTGTTCAAGTTCCATTTGTCTCTTTTTCTGCTTTTGATACAGTCTAAAAATTAATATTACACTTATTTTTTTATACACCTAGATTAAAAATTATATAAAAAATTAAATAAAAATTTTATACCGCAAATTATTCTTCTCATAGTAGTCAATATCCGGCACATTAATATTTTTACAAAAATCAACAAAGATTTTATCTTTAATTGCATTAACCTGTTTCTCCATGCTTTTAGTTTTTTCAACTCGTTTTTTAATATTGTCTTCAATTTCAGATATTGCCATCTAGAAGTTTTACGAATAATAGAAATATCTTTCTGTTGTACAGATCAATAAAAAGTTTTAATAGAGATATATATGTATATGAATTACAAATTATACATTAAATACATTTTGAATTATACATTAAAATACATACATTTAATTCAATTATTTCTCTATCAAGCCTGTCTAATTCTTCATTTAGCCGAACGATTTCGTCTTCCTACAAAATGTAGATTTTATGTATTATTATTTGATGATAGATCACATGTAATAAAACTAAGATATAAATTGTTCCTGCTTCTTAATTACGTACAGTGTCTTTTATATCTTTCTCAATGTATTTATTTTGGCGCTTGAGTTCTTCCATTGTTACATTAATTTCATCAAGTTCAGATTGGATAAGAGAGATTTTGGGCAAATCTCTGAATTCTTTCATTAATTGTGCCTATAAAATTGTACATATTATGTAAACCACTATATGTTAACTTGCTGCACTGATCTTGCAAAAAATTTACAACCTTTTGTTCTTTCAATGCCAATACTTGTTGGTCCTCCCATTGTTTTGCTTTTATAATTAAATCAACCTGCCCACCGGACATTGTACCATCTTTACGATAAAAACATCCATCCAATGAAACACACTAAACGTAATAAATATATACTAGTTTCATAAATAAAATTGATATATAAAGATAAAGAAAATAATAATAAAATATACATGTATGATATATATACATATACAATATATACATATAATTACATCATTTCCTTTTTTCTTTTTATCATCAGATTGCGCTATTAGTCTCGCATCTTCAATAGTCTCGCAAACTAAAGTATTCTGAGTGACAAATAAAACCGCTTTGCTTATTTGTGTTGATGAAATGTTCAACACGTCATATAATAATTTAACATTTTTCGGCTCTTTTATATTACTGTAAAGTAATAACATTATGTTATATTATCCAAAAATACTTTTTTTTCCCTCTAATTACTCACCGTAAGTGTTCTTTTAACAATGTCGTTTTTATTGAATCAAGCGGTAAAAATGTTTCAATGCCTATTTGTTTCTTTTTTAAAAATTCAATGCATTGCATTGCTGTACGTCTGGTATCAACGACGATGGCATCCATATTTTTATTGAAAATTTTAGTTACCGCAACATTATAACGTGGATGAATAGGCTTACAAAAATCAGATAAGCGACCATACTAAAAAATAAAAGTTCTATTAACTCTTTGTGAACTTTTATATATATATAATCATCATTATATGTATATATCTAAATTTTAATAATGATTAGTAAAAACGATACCACGCCATCAGAGTATAACTGTTTCAACTGTTGGATTGTTTCTTTTTTTTTAATCTGTCGCGAAATAGTATTCTTATCGATATCAATCTGGGAAAGCTTCTCTGAAATCTTTGCAATATCGTTCTCCAGACTGAACGATTTATTCATTGCATCAGTTTTTTTCTGCTTTAATTTCTCTGCTGTCTTTTCCATTAACGTTACTTTAGGTTCGACACTTTGCAATTTTTTGAGCCGCGTTTCAAAATTCTCCTTCGTTAATCTTGTCTGCTTTACTTTGTACTCCAAATCTTGCTTGCGCCTATTTTCGTTATCAAGTTTATCCTGATCCTTTTGTTGATCGCGCATCAGGCTATTTATTTGCTTTACTAATTTCGTTGTCCGGTATTCAGTTTCGTTCGTCAATTCCAGGTAACGTTTAACCTTATGTGTACATCATTATATTAGGCAAAAATTTATTATAAAGTAATGGAAAACAAAAAAATTTTTTTCATAAACTATTAAAATATAAATATCTACAGATATCATATAAATATTATGGATTCGCAACGGTATACCTGAGAGTTGCTGAGTTCTATAGTGCTCGTCTGTGACGCTTTTCTTAACTCCGCTAATTTGTTGTCTATTTGTTTTAGCTCATCTTTTAATTCTTCAATTATTCTCTTGTTAGTATCACGCGCTTTACTTGCACTGTCTAAAGATACGCGAGCACAATCACGTTTTTTCTGCCAATGTGAGATGTTATCCTCAAAAACAACATATTCCAACTTCTTCGGGCGAATAATCTTCTCCATTTCCGAAATACCTTGTTCAATAGTTTCGAGAGAACTGAATAATGACTTAAATTGTGATTGTTTACGTTTTAGTAAATGTATCGCAGTTTCCTTATCGCGTAAATACTCATCTATTCGCGATTTGACTTCTTTTTCCTTATCTTGTAAGGATTCAGCTTCCTTCTTAATGAGGAGCAATCGAATTAATTGAAATTTTAATTTTTTCTTATTCTGTAATGTTCGATAATTATTTTATCACAACTATATGAAGAAAGATATAAACAGTAATTTCTAAAGATTTTTATAGTTTGAAAACAAATGTAACATACATATTGTTTTTTCAACCATAAATATGTTTCTGTTTCTGCTTTTTCTTCAGCGGCGCATTTCTTTTGAATTAATATCTGTTTTTTTCTTTGATGTTCAAAATTTACTGCTTCTTCCGCTTTCAAAAGTTCTAATTTTAATCTGCCGCAAACATCAAAATCTAGTAAATTTTACCGAATCTTATAGCAAAATTTGTACCATCAGTTAGAACAAAACAAAACTTGTACCTATCATATTCTGCTTTGTACGTAATTGAATTACTAGTCTGTTCGAACATCGCGGTTAGATCTTTTGGCATTTTCATTGCAAAACATTCAATGTAACCCTGAGGTATCAAAAAGTTCCCTGCCTTTATGTCCAAACCCATTTCTCGTAGTTCATTCAAATAAAATACATTCGTAACAGTCTGTAAGGTAAGAGATGAATAATCAATCAGTGTCAAGTAGTGTAATAAAATAAGAAAACAATTTGACAAGATTGTAAATAATGCTGTAGAATTCCACCTTGTCATCTATGTTGTACTGACTGACTTCGCCGCTTATCTTCCTTGTGAAACTCTTTTTCGTTTCGTCTAGCTTGAAGATCACGTTTACATAAGTGCTACTGTAATATATTAAACTTTTAAAATATCTAACAGTATATATCTAACAGTATAATATCTAACAGACATGAAATTAATTGAGAAATAAAGAAAATATATTTCTAGTACACATTCACTGATCCTTCATAAATAAGTTTACTGAGGTTTTTAACACGCAAAGAGCTCGGCTCCTCCCCTAATGCAAAACTTATGGCGTCCATAATATTTGATTTTCCTAAAATACATAAAACATTTACATATCTTAATTAGAATATAAAAGTAATATGGTAAAAGGAACAAAGAAAAATTTATACGAAATAAAAGAGAGTAAAAGAAAAAAAATTAAAAATTTAAATTTACCTTAATCAATAATCTTATCTGTTATTTTATTAAACCAAATCAAATCAAATAATAAATATCGTTGAGTTAAATAATCTGTTAATAATCTCTTAATAAATAATTATTTTCTATATTTATTTAATATATAATTATTTATTATACAAAAATGAAGAAATAAGAACAAGCTATTTGATATATGCGGGAAAATAGTTTCGTTCTAAATCGAATAAAATGAACGTTGGAAAGAGCATAAGAATCTCACCGGATCCATTTGGACCGATTATTGCTGTAAATGATCGGAGAGGGCCGATCGTTGTTGTTCCCGAGAACGACTTGAAGTTGGAAATCACGATACTATCTAAAAAAATTGGCATTGTTAAGGCAAAGCGTTTATCGAATGCGAATAGACCAGTGAGCAAGTGACCGTTGGTCAAACTCCGAAATTCTCGAAACTCCGGCCGGAATGCTCCGAATTCGAAATAACGCAGGGTTACCAATTTGCAAATTCCAAAGGGTGCATTGAGCTGCTAAGTAGCAATAAAATGTGATTGGTTCTTATCTTTGGATCCAACCAATCACACGTAATTGCTACTTACTTAGCCGCTCACTGAGTGGTTGTGCTCCTGGATGCAGCAGAAGTGTCGCGTCGTGAGATAGGTTTAACTGTAGAGCGCGAAGATTTAACCGGGTTTAACGGTAAATCAACAAACTATTTTATAAGTTAGTTATGAGTTTACGAAATAAAAACAAATACATATGTTTCAATAAAAGTGAAATCGCACAACATGAATGATGGCGTTCATGTTGTGCGATCTCACTTTTATTGAAATATATGTATTTGTTTTTATTTCAACCAACCAGAATAAAAATGTGATTATCGCATCATTGTTTAAATGTGAAACAGATTTGCAAAATAGAATGTATGTTGTATAATAAATTAAAATACGCACAAGCGCGATGTTGCATATTAAGTTACTGCTTTATCATTATTGTTATTGATATTGTTGAAATATGTGTAATAAATTTGCTGCTCTCGGATACACACGTCTCATTAACGCAATAAAATCAATTGTTTGTTCTAGCAGTTTGTTCGCAAGTTTTTATTAAAGTCAAGTTTTGAAAGCTATTTACATTACTCACAACATAACTCATGTCTCACACAATTGCTATCAGGCTTATTCTAACTTATACTATAGATGGATATATATATATATGACCTAATTTATCAAAAAGTATGATAGTCTTGCAGTGATTTCAAAGTAATATGAAAAATGTGAATAAATTTAGAAATAATAATAATAATACGTTAATATTTTGTAATATTTATATATTCTTCTTTGAAGACAAAATTAAAAATCATCCACAGCGAATATATATATATATAAATATATATGTAAGAAAAGAAAATAGTTGTTCCTTTTAAATAATAAACGTCTACAAAACATGTGTAGGACATGTAGTCAGGTCGAGTGTTAACACTTTGCTCTCCAAACACTCGCCTACCTGTAATTCATATATAACAAGTATAGTCGACTCTAATGAAGAGTCACATGTGAAATGATATGCAATCTACTTACATCCGGGCATATTCCGATGAGCGCATCTGCGTGCGAGTAAAATTCCTCCTTCAATGATATAACAATCGTCTGCAGCGAGCTCGTTTTGTCGCGGATGTAGCTGGCCACCTTTCCTATGTTAGTATTATCGAGGGCCGCGTCGATCTCATCCAGAACGAAAAATGGCGCAGGTTGGAAACTGAACATAGACGAACAGTAAATGTTAATTAACCATCCGTCGTATTCGAATTATATCATCAACTTGATTTTGCGTAAAAAATATTAACCTGTGAATTGCGAATAATAGAGCTAGTGCAGCGACGGTTTTTTCTCCACCAGACAAATTAGACATTGGCTGAAATCGTTTGCCAGGAGCCACGCAGTTATAATTAATGCCGTCCAAGTAGGGTTCTTCAGGATTTTCTGGTCCAAGGAATGCCTGAGCGGATTGATTCTTTGCCAGACTCTGAAATAGCCACAACATATATGATGAATATATGATGATAAATATGATTAATATAAATTATAAATTTATTTGAAAAGTATATATTTGTTTCGCTAATAAGTGATAACAAGAACCTCTATTTTTTAATCGACAACATTTGGCAGTGTCATGACAATTCGACCATTGGTTTTGATCGAATTAATCGTCAAGACGTTTCGACCATAGGTTTTGGTCTTTTATATTTATATATTTATTTGTAGACAAATTATTGTATAAATGTTTTTACAAACTCATTATTTCCCAAACCTTATAAATAGGATCAATCTCGTTCGCCACATGTTCAAAACATGCCATGAATCTGTCGTGTCGTTCTTTTTTCACCTTCTCGAATTGTGTCTTCGCTTTCTTTGCTTTCTTACGAGACTGCTCGAACTCTTCATTAGTCTCTTGTAATTTCTCTTTCGCCAAATATAATTTTTGAATTGCCTAAGAGAAAGAAAATATTTTTATATTTTTATAACTTTTTACGTTTACCGACATATCATTTCTAATATACAAATTTGTTGTAAACCTTCATATTTGGAGCTTGTATGCGTTGTATTGTATTTTGCAAATCGTTGATTGTTTTCGTTAACTTGTCGGTTGTCTTTTTGATATCTTCTTCGTCCACATCTTTCAGATTTTCGGACAAAAGCGCATAGTCTATGGTAATCCTCTTTTCGCGTTCATACTGCTGTTGCGTATTTACTGATGAATCATTATTAGTTTCACTTCCATTTGCCGCACTCGTCTCACCTGCTATATCTTCCATATTTCCGTGCAACATAGGTATTGCAATATCTTCCATCTACATATTATTAAATACATTAGTAATTTAAAATAATACGCATAATATATACTCGAATGACAACAAACCTTGCATTGCATCAAAATAGCATGTCGTTCGGCCTTCTTCTGTTCGATTTTTGATTCAATTATGTTAAGCTGCTTCTGAGCTGCCTGAATGTCCTTTGCGATAGCTCCCACTTCACGCCTAGCTTTACCAATTTCGTCTTCTTTCTGATCAACCTCCATCTTTTTAGCATTGCGAGACGATTTCAATTGTTCCATTTGTTGCTCATCGTGGTCGATCTCTGCTTTTTGATTAGATTCGGTTTGCTTCGCGGATTCAAGTTTATCCTCTGCATCTTGCACCGCTCGTTCCCATCGCAAAACATTGCCTATGGTATAAGTAAAATATTAAAATGCAAAAACTGATAACATAGTACATACAAAGTATAAAATAAAAACACTTCTTCATATAATGTGAGATTTTATGCAAAAGTTTATATATTTTCATAACATACTTTCTGTATCACGTTGCTTCTCAAAATCCAATTGATTATAAATGCGATTGCATTGATTGTCAAACTCCATTCTTTTTTTTGCTCTTTCTTGTTGCGATCTGGAATAATAGTACATTCGACACTTTAGCATCTATATCTAAGATAATACAATCCTTATCTAACAACATAATTTCTTCGTACCTTAATTCTCTTTCTTCATATTGACGGATATTAGAAACTCCTATCTGTTCACAAAAACTGGCAAATACGTCGTCCTCAACATTGTTCATTTTTTCTTTGATGTTTTGTATTTCTTGATCTCTTTCAGCCATAGTCTTCTCAATAGCGGCTATTGCAGGCTATACATAAAAAATATTGAAGCATTTCGTTCAAATATGAATAAATATATGTATGCAAATATACAAAATCTACTTCTTAAAACTTACACCAAACATATTTAACTCGTTTTGCAGACCCTCTAACTCCACTTCAAGATCCGCGATTTGTTTTTGCTATAATAAAAATTGTATCCACATGGTTTTTAAATAATTATATAATCGCATAAAGTATAAACAATGCAATGCATAATACTCACTGTTGCAGACAAGTCGCTTTTGTTGTATTTTAAGCGAGTCTCTAAACCACGTATTTGAGATTCAACCGTGTTCAATTCGGATTCCTTGCGCGATTTTTTCAAAGATTCTCTCAGTTCTTCCGTTAATTTTTCCTGTGAATAAAAAAATTAAATATATTTTTATCCCTATAATATATAGAAATAAAAAATACGTTACCTTTTGCGCCTTTAATTGAGACATCTGTTTTTCATCCCATCTCTTCGCTTTCTTTGCAAGATCCAAACTGCCTCCAGATATTATACCAGCTTTCTGGTAAAATGTACCGTCTAATGCGACGCACTGTAAATATTTTGTATATGTATCATAGTTTAGATTATTACTTTGTTTAAGCAAAGATAAAGATAATATGTATACACTTACATCATATCTAGTTTTCTTGTCCATCTCGTACGCTACTTTATTAGCATCCTCCGGTGTTTCGCATACAAGAGCATTATTAGTTGCAAAGAGAACTGCTCTATCAATGTCCTTTGGGGAAAAATGCAACACATCGTACAACAACTTCACGTTCTTAGGTTCTTGTATGTTGCTGCAAAACAGTATATAATCATTATAAAATAACAAAAAGATATAGTAATGTTAAAATAGAATCATGTAACGATTAATTTATTTACCGAAGACGTTCTTTAAGTGGTTTAGCTTGTATGTAATCAAGCGGAAGAAATGTTTCTGGCTCGAGATACTGCTCCTTCAAATACTGGATACACTGTCTGGCCGTTTTCTCAGTATCCACTACAATAGCCTCCATGTATTTACCAAGTACTTTCGTAATCGCAACATTATACCGCTTGTGAATTGGTTCGCACATGTTGTACATCCGATCATACTGAAGAAAAAGAAACACTTGAGTCATTTCGTTTTTTTTTTATTTTAAAGAAAATAGGAAGAAATAACGCACCACTCCAGGAAACAGACGCTTAAAATTCTCCACAATTTCCGTCTTTTTCTTGTTCCTAGATACTTCGTGCTTATCAACTTTAGCATCACCGAGCTGTTCGGAGATGCTCTCCAACTCTCGTTGCAAATTCTGAATCTTATCCTTCGACGTGCCTACATCGGACTGCAAGTCAGCTCTGAGCTTTTTCTGATCCTCCAATGCAGCCTCCGATGTTTTTATATGCTCCTCCAACTTTTCCACTCGCTTAAGCGCCTCATCTCGCATATGACCTTTCTGCTTATGCTTATTCTCTATCTCGGTTTTCTTCCTGCCTTCATTGTCGAGCCTATCTTGATCTGACTTTTGTTCACGATTAATAGAATCGAGAAGTTGAAGGTACCTCGCGGATTGCTTGCCAGCTTCCTCTTTTAGACGATTATATTCCTGTACCTTAAATTATTTCTGTTAATTAGATCATTACAATGCAATTTGCGTTTTATTCAAAATAGCTGTAAATTAAATAATGGCGTGCCTTGAGATTTTGCGAATATTACGTAATTTATTTGTACCTGTTCATCTTCCAATTGCACATCTCTCCCTTGTAATTGGGATTGCCCTGCTATACTCGCTTCGTAAGTAGCTTTAGCTTCTTCCACCTGTCGCAATTCCTCCTGCAGTTCGTGTATATCCTTTTTATGAGCTTCGTCCGCGATACGCGCCTGAGCTAAAGATTTGCGTGCAGATTCCACCTTCTTCTGCATATGTGCGACACGTTCTTTAGCTTTAATAAACGTTGGTCTCTTTTTTGTGATTTCTACTTCCACTTCTCTGATATCTTGCTCTATCTTAGCAAGATCTCTGCCCAGTTTAGCGGCTTCTTTTTTCTTCTCTTTCAACAATTC